GATGCGGTGCACATAGCACTTGGTCCTGTGCAAATCTGTGCAGTGGTTTACAAATAACATAACATTTCTTTTGTGTTTGAGCTTGGCTGTTGCTCCACCCCAGACTAGAGCCCAATTAATGGGTGTTCCTATGGAGGAACTACAGCACAGATGCAAGCTTTCCCTCCCTATTCTAACATCTGCCGGTTGGACCCTATGTCTCCTCTGCTCTATTTTTCTGCTTTGTACACCAAAAGAAAGTCTAAGCCCAGCCTTGACTGCCACCCTTCAACTATTCTGTGAAAAAGACTAGAGTAGTAGCTGCTGGTTTCTGTTGTGAAGGACGACACACTGGAGACAAGCGCCGTCATTCACCAAAACACAAACCCAGACCAACACACTGTGGTTTCTCTCTCCAGAATAGCAGGTGGGCAGGTCTGGGCTCAGATGAACGAGAGAGACTAGTGTAGTAGCTCATATGTATTGCTGTGGGTTTCTATTTTTGTAAATGATGGCGCTTGTCTCCGTGCACCACCATTCTCAACAACACAAGTCGACAGCTTAGTAGCTGGAGTCTCCCTCCAACTCTGTAGTTGAACTAATCTGGCTCGTCTGTGCATCCTGTATCCTGTCACCACAGCCCCATTGATTCCCTCTACTGTATGTTCTCTCCTGGAATGTTTCAGAAAAGATGGGGAATGGAATTGTGCAGGCTCTGTGTGCTCTGTGGCTGTCACGCCTTCTCTCCTCTGCGTGCCATGCCCCCTCTCCCCTATGTTCCTGTCAGTCAGACCACATTATACTGTAGATTCATCTATTTGTGAGCAGCATGGATCTTAACAGAACCAAGTGCTATGTGCACTGGGTCTGCTGGGGGATTCAACAAGGATTTAATGGGTGACTTACATGAAATCCCTGTTGAATCCCCGAGGAGACACAGTTTTAAAAGTAGAAAGCAGCCGGGTTGTCCAAAACAAGTACTTTGCATCTCCCATCTTTCAAGTAAAAAGTAGAATGTAAACAGAGGCATCTTAATGGATGCTACGGGTAACAGCTTCACTTTCCAACCTTACATCATGTAGTACTTGACATCTGACCTTCACCTCCTTGAATAAAATCAGCGTCTACAGAATTCATGAGCAGAGCATTCAATAAACTTATACAAAGGGTTGTGTTGGACAATTTATATAGTTTTTACATACGTCCCAATATATGCTAAATACATACATAAACATTCATGAAGCAAAATGAATAAACACTGCATAAGTGGTGGTAATCACAAAATAAAAAGTGTACTCACTCCGGGCCAAATCACTCCTGCGTAACCTTCAAAGGACTCCTGGATAATAATTTCGTACCCTGCATACCAGAGGTGCTCTTTCCCAAAACAGGAATAGACAGTAGGAGCCCATGCCTTGAAGGGTTGGATACATGGTTTGAGGTCACATGTGAACTCTAAAACAAAAACACATTGGGGAAATCAGTATAGCATTTGTGTCACTTTTCTGGCGTTATTGCTGTCTATGGATGTCCTGCCGCAATACAAGAAAGCAGTGCAACAGTTCTAATGCTACTGTGCAACAAATTCAGGTAGTTCTAATAGCGGCACTTTTCCATTTTGTTGCATTAGTTTCAACAAATTTGAATTGAAATACTGTCGTTTCAGGGATAAGGAGCCTGGCAGGAAAAAGAATCAATGTCATTCATTCTTGAGTAATGTGTGTCAGGAGTGAAGAGTTTATCCCCCCGTGTTGGTTGCTAGGATGCTGGCAGCCCCAATGCTGCGGGCGTCCTAACAACCAGTGACACTCGGCCACACACCGTCATTGGCTGCTGGAAAGGGGCTGCCAGTGTCCTAGCAAATAATCAGGCTCAGCTGCACAACATTATAGGTTGACAAAGTGGAACTACAACCTTCTATCCTTACAGCCAAGGAAGGTGCCATCTTAACCACTTTTTGGATTGCAGTCGCCATGGCACTGCACATGCAATCAGCTATGACACCTGCCGTTTAAAGGCTTGAAAGCTCAGTTGAGAGCTGAAATAAGCACACGGGCAACCATGGCAGTTGGTATGCTTTTAAAGTTACTGTTTTGAGAGACATTTCACTGGTGGGTACAGCTCTTCTTTAAGATACTAGAGGCCCATAGGCAGGTAGTGTCCTAGCAACCATTTATGCATGGCCACACAACATAATTGGTTGATAGGATGAATGTGGCCCCAAGGTTTTGTCGGCAAACAGTGAAACTTGGCCATATTGCGTTCTTCAGACCTGCGCACATGACAGGCCTTACAATAAATTCATGTACAACGCTAGTTCCAAAAAAGTCGGGACACTTTTTTGTGTAAAATCGAAACAATAAAGAATGCAATTATTTGCAAATCTGACAAACCCATATTTTATTCACGATAGAAGATATAATACATACATATCAAATGTTTAAACTGAGAAACTTTGCTATTTTAAGAAAAAAAATAAGGTAATTTTGAATTTGATGGCAGCAACACTTCTGAAAAGTTGGGACAGGACCATGTTTGTCACAGTGTTTGCATCTCCTCTTCAGATTGTTTGATTCTTTTAATGCTATTATGTACTGTAGATGATTATATATTTCAGGTCTTTGCAATTTTACGTTGAGGAACATTATTCTGAAATTGTTTGACCATTTTTAGATGCAACTTCTTACAGATTGGTGAGCCTCTGCCCGTCTTTACTTTGAGACACTCTGGGGGGGATTTATCAAAACTGGAGCAGACAAAATCTGCAGCAGCTGGGCATGACAACCAATCAGCTTCTCTCTTCAGTTTGTTCAGTAAAGATTTGAAAATGAAAAATAGAAGCTGATTGGTTGCCATGCACCAATGATTGGTTGCCAGCTGCTCCAGTTTTGATAAATTCCCCTCTCTGACTCTCAGATGCACTTTTTATACCCAATCATGTCACTCAGCTGTTGCCAATTAACCTAATTAGTTGCAAAATGTTCTTCCAGCTCTTCCTTGTTAGTACCACTTACTTTGCCAGCTTTTTGTTGGCCTGTCCCAACTTTTTGTTACCTTATTTTTTTTCTCAAAATGGTCCATTTTCCCAGTTTAAAGATTTGATATGTTTTCTATTTTCAATTGTGAATAAAATCTGGGTTTATGAGATTTGCAAATCATTGTATTCTGTTTTTATAAAGATTTTACACAGCGTAACAACTTTTTTAGAATTGGGGTTGTAGATGTCTCTGACATGTATATGAATTGTTTGCATTCACCAACATGTGTTGTCACACATAGACTCAAAACGGCGCTCACAGCATCACAGAGAGACTGGTGACAGTGCTTACAATTTTATGTATAGACTGAAGACAGCACTCACATTTGTACTACCAAGGAAACTGTACATTCTTAAAACACACATATCACAGTTTCAAATATTTAATCAATGATTCCAGGCACAGGAAATGACCATTATTGTGTGCATGAGTCTCCAATTATCCAAAGAGGTAAAAAATCAGCATCTGAAAAGACTGCAAATAAAACTTCATTTCATTTTTTTGCACAAAAGATCGGCAAACAAATTCTGCGGTATCTATCTTACAGTATGTGTATGGGTAGTGTGTGGGCAGTAACACCTGGAAGGAGATGCTTGGAGAGGAAATGCTCAGGTGTCGGAATGGGAGCATTGGCATTCAGTGTGATCCCTACGATCCCTGTTCCAACAGTGGAGAATCAATCCCTCTTCTTTTGGATCTCTAGTACAGCATAGGCTTAAAGAGACACTAAACTCAGGCGTTAAATCCTAGAAAAGCATTCAAGTACCTAAAGGGCCGGTGCACACCTAGGCGACACGCCACCGCGCTGCAATCGAGCACGGTCAAGTATTGCCCAGGTGTGCACCGATCGCGCTGTGGGTGCCATTATTTACAAATGGCACCCAAGTTGCGCCGGGCAGATTCCTGCCGTGATTCCGCCCGTGCTTCCGAACACAATTACCTTTTTTCTGCTATATACGACGAGTGGCTGTTTTATCGTGGAATATAATGGCACCCACAGCGCGATCGGTGCACCTGGGCAACTGCTGACCGCGCGGCAATCGTGCACGGTGGGTTGTCGCCTAGGTGTGCACTGCCCCTCATTATTAACAAAAATATAGCCTTTGTGCATCAGTCAGCTTTGAAGCCTCAAATCATCTCTGAATTGGTGCTGACACTGTCCTTCCTCCTGGAGGGTGGCTACTTTTGTTCTCCATGGTCCCTGTGTGTGTTGTAAAGTAGTCACTGCTCCAAGCTCACTCCCGTGATGGACAATAACTTAACTACAAATTAGTAAACTAAAGGTGAGATTGTAGTCCATCACAGGAGAGAGCTTGGAGAGGTGGCTACTATACAACACACACAGGGGTCATGGGGAACAAAAGTAGCCACCCTCCAGAAGAAAGGACAGAGTCAGCACCAAATCAGAGATGATTGGAGGATCTACAGCCGAGTGATACACAAATAAGATACATTTTTATTAATAGTTAAGGTACCTGAAAGCATTTTAAGGTTTAACTCCTGAGTTTAGTGTCACTATAAGAAAGCCATCCATTATAGTATACAGTTTATTTCTCTGGCCACATCAGAGTAGTTATAAACTATTTCAATCTGAGCCTCACTTTTGCCAAGTACTATAGTAATGACACCCATTATCAAATATGGCCAGTGATGTGTTGTATTGAAGGATGTGGCCAATATGTGAAATAATGTATATTGATATTATTGACATCAAGAAAGCTTTCAGGCGTATCTCTGGATCAACAACCACAACATGTAAATATTGTCAGTGATGAGACAAAACAGCCCTGCAATATATTTATTATCCCATACTATGATCATCATTCAGGTATATATATTATCCCATACTATGATCATCATTCAGGCATATATATTATCCCATACTATGATCATCATTCAGGTATATATATTATCCCATACTATAATCATCATTCAGGCATATATATTCTCCAATACTATGATCGTCAGTCAGGCATATATATTATCCCATACTATAATCATCATTCAGGCATATTATTCCATACTAAGTGCTGTTCTAGGGTTGTAAGTATCGCATCTACAGGTAGTCAGACGTATGTAAACGTTATATAACACAATGCTCCAGCAATGTCTGCCTCTGAGAAGCTTCATATTATCATATATCCTGTATATTCCCAAATGAGATTCCAGCATACATGTAAGACATAAAATAAGGCATATGCTTAGACGCAAGTCAGATATACAGATGAGTGATGTGTGTGGGCTGTAGCCCGATCTCTATATACAGAGTGAGATGACAGATGATCAGGGATCGGGATCCGGTTTTGCATGCTCTGGTGGGAACAGCTCACTCGCACATGGAAGTAAATGAGTAAGATATAAATACAGATGAGTGATCTGTAGGCCGATCTCTATACAGAGATGATCAGGGATTGGGATCTGGTTTTGCATGCTCTGGTGGGATCAGCTCACTCTTACATGGAAGTAAATGTGTAAGATATAAATACAGATGAGTGATCTGTCCGGTCTGTAGCCTGATCTCTATTCAGAGATGACAGATGACACGATCAGGGTCCCTTGTTCAGGGATTGGGCTCCCTCATACATCGCTATTTGTGCGCTGTCAATGACACATAGAGCGTACCTTCCTTGTCGTCCCCCAGTTGAGGGGTCTGTAGATGTTGGGGTTCGGATCTTCCCTCCTGATCACCCACAGTTTCATCAGATCCCTCCCAGCTGTCTTCCTCCTCTGCAGCGGAGAGCACAGGCTGCACACAGGACAGACACTCCAGACGCTCAGCATCCATAGCAGGTGCCCTGAACACAGGGGAGAAGACACAGCAGCAATGATCACACACTGGACCTCACCATCCTCTAAGGCTCTCCTGACAGCCTGGGGAGGTGTTGGGAAGATTGCAGATGAGTGGTGTGGCTGTAATTGCAGTGTGTGTGTGTGTGCCCTGATTATGCATCTGTTACACGTCTAGGACAGAGACACAAAGCCTTTCTGCTGGCACATTCACTGCTGGGAGTAACCCAATACTTGGATTTATGATGCAATGATGATAATCCTATACCTAGCAGGATTTTACCACCTTATGATCATGGTGAATGAAACACATATACCACTTTTTGGCAGCTACAGGTGTTCCAAGCTCCATTAAAGGATATCTATGGTCAAAAACTAAAAATAAATATGTATTTCTATATTAAATTTCCCTAAGTTCTATTCCACTCCTAATAGCGATATCGATCTAGATAGTTGTAATGTACTTATTGAAGATAAGCCTGCCTTCTGAACTACAACTCAATGTCTAAGCAATGTAACATCATCACTGTTAGCAGGAATCAATGCATGATGGGATATGTAGTCTTGAGAAATCGTGATGGCATCACATCAAACAGCAGGGAAATAGACGCTAAGCACATTATGATTCCAGGAAGTTGTTGAAAGTGATGGGCAGACAGAAGGCAGCACTCACTACATAAAAGGGATTTTTACAAGTAAGTTTTGATTGTATTATCAAAAACAACTCTAGTATGTATTCTGATTATGATGCTGATTTTATAACAGGATAGTGTATGCTGGGAGTTTAGAAATGTGATAGTGATGGCAAATTACAAAATACCACAACTAACATTAGGACAATATCTCCAATATTTTCTGCTTTTGCTATATGTTTTCTATGGTACCAACACTAAAAAAGTTCAAGCCCCAAGGATCACAGAATAAAAGGAATATTAAAGTCCATCTAAACCCTAACTCAGGGGCATTGCTAGACCTTGGTACTCACAGCACATGCTCCAGGTCTTCTACTGAGTGCCAAAGGACTGCTTTAAGATGGAGATGACACATTTTATACATAGCTTTGGAACATTGTGTACATTATCTACATTTCAATTAGTCTATTCATATTTTATTTTTCAGTTAAGTCTTTGGTGCTCTACCTCCTTCCTCCAATGCAGTTCCACTGAACACTGGTGCACAGCCAAGGCTTCCACCAGCCCTTTGTCACGAACAGTATAAAATTGTGTTTGCACATGGTTCTGGATCCAGTTTAGATTTTCTTTATTTGTTTAAGGCATAAAACCAGACATGCAAAAATGGCTTCTACCTTTTAAATGAATGCTGACATTGCCAAGTAATCAGCAGCAAGAGATCTTTTGCAGACAGCCGACTGTTGTAGAGACACTACATTGAAATTGATCTCTGTATGGGTCCTTCTTGATCTAGCTGACAGTTACCTGACTCACATTACTTCTTTATTATGGGTCCCTCAAGCATTGCCACCCCATGCCAGTGCTCCCAGATTCCTTAAAAATTTGGGACTCGAGTTGGCACCCCACCAACCTCACCTACCACTTATCGGCCTGTTGGGGTGTCCACTTTTCCCACCAGCATGTGACAGTTCATTTGCTTGCAGGTAGCGGGATGCCAAGGACCTTACCATACTGATATCTATTCTATCGGGTGACTCTGTTACATCTTTCCCATCCCTTTGGGAGTGGTATGACTCCTTGGCAGGTGAAGTGTTCAGATACAACCAGCTGAAAATGTAGATATCTTCTATAATCAAAACCAAAACTAACCTACAACTTTTCACTCATTTTAAATGTATCTGATACCACAAGCGTGACCCTATTTTACAACTATACCTATCCCTGACCACCACTACACAAGCTAACAAACTGTACTATATGCTGAAAGAGAAAAGAGGAAATAGGAAGTCTCATGCCACTGCAGGATTGGAGTGACATTTGGACCTAAACCTCCAAGAGTTTCACCATCATCATAACGCCTGAAAATTCTTATAAAGTTATGTGCTGATGGCATCTTACATCGCCATGGATCACTAAAATGTCTTGCCCTGTATGCTTCTGTGGATGCACAGATCAGGGTACCATTTATCACATATGGTGGAACTGCCTTAAGGTACAGAGATAATAAATACAAGTCTATTACCTAATCAGAATCATTCTGAATCAGGATTTACATAAGAGTCCATAGGAAGCCTTAATACATAAACCTATCAATACTTTTACTAAACTCGAACACAAACTCTTCTCCTTCATCTTTTTAGCTATAAAACTACTGATCCTCAATAACCTGTAAATAATACAGATAGTATGGATAACCAGAAAATGACTGCTGTTTTCCAGGATTCCCATGATAAATTCTTCAACATCTGGTCGCCCCAGATAACTTATACCTGCCCAAATGGCCTCCACAACCCAGTTTTGGCCCTGTAGTGGCCTAGAAAAACCCACAACTGGCAACCCTTCTTTTGTTCCAAGGTTTTTTTACTCTCTTCTCTCTCTACTTCTTGCCTCCCTATTCTGCTCCTTCCTTCTGTCCCCTTCTTTATCCTACACCCACAAACCCCTCTAAGGACTTGTTCACACCAGATGTGTTGAGGTGCATTGATCTTTATTGATCAACGCAGGCTCAATACAAGGGCTGATAGAAAACATTTGCTCTCTATGTGCCTTGTTCACACCATAGATGTGCAGTGGTCTTCCTGTCAGGATGTTGCAGAAAATTATTTGACAGTGGTTCCCATAGTGAATTGGTACATTGTAGCTAGTGTAAACATTATACACACTGTCAGTCAAAATCGTTACTTTACAGTGGTTATAGGATCTGTACAAACTGGTAAAAATATCCAAATGGCTCATGACTCACTGGGGCGGCCATGCAGAAAGGGCAGGAATTGTTTAGTCTTCTTCAGAAAATACATTATTGCAATAGTGTCAATCTAGTGCAATAGACCCTTTTTGCCTCTTTTTCTGTAGATTACAATATATATACTGTAGCAGTTCCATTTTTTAATAATGTAGCTTCTTAAGCAAATTGACGTTCACAGTTACATGTTATCCAATATCAACACATTAGACTAAGACTAAAGACTAGAATAAGTAAGCAGATACATATAACAGTGCTATCACTTAATAGCGTATGCCGTTTTTTCCCTTTTTTTTTAGTGCATATAAGAAGCAAGAGACACCCACTCTTCAGTATTTAGTGTTATTTTCAGCCTTCGCTGGTACAGTACTCAGTATAGTACCAAAGCTGTTTTTTTACAGCATGAAACAAAAACAATTTTTTTGAAATAACTCATATAGGCAATTTTTCAGCTACTTAGCATAGGTCTTCATTTTCTGAGAACATAGTAATAGTGCAGACCATTTATTTTCATAGGCCAACGCAAACACAAACTGTTCAGGTTGCAAATCTGGTGACAGCAATATGCTCTTAAACCAGCGCCCTAAATAAAAAAAAGAGAATACCTTATGCTAAGATACCAGCACACGCTTTTTTTCTGGAGGCTGCTGTATTTTGTGTTGCGTCCTCAGGAAAAGACTTTGGAACAAAAATTAACCGGAACGTTATGTGAATTAATTAATAATAATTATTACAATTGCTAACATTTAAATTACTCAATATGTTAAATAATAAGTCATTTACATAACTTACATAATAGTAAATAAAATGACATACTAATAATTACAAATGGTGTGTTTTAAATTAGAACGGAGGTGTATTAAGCTGGCCATACACTTTACAACCAATGCAAGACCTTAGTCTTGCGATGGTTGTAAAGTAATTAAAAAAACGTACGATCTGCCCATCTTGGACAGGCAGATCGTACTTGAGATCATCGCAAGCCCGCCCCCCTGAGGGATGACCGCAATGCTGAACTGGCAGTGTGCGCGTGCGCACACCGGCCCGTTCGGCATTTGTCTCCCGAGCACCGTTCTAACCAGCTGAAAATCGTAAGATTTTCGGCTGGTTTTCTAGCATGCTCCTTAGACAAAAGAAGTGCGACCGTACAGTAGAAACGGTCGCAGTCTTCATTCACACCGCACGATTCTCGAACGATCGCGGGATTTACCCGCGATTCTCGTATGAGACTCGTGCAGTGTATGGGCACCTTTAGATGTATTTTCCATTTAAAATAAAATTTGGTTAATAATCTTTGTTGTAGTGACACTAGTTTTCAGCTTATGTTCTTTGGCCCAGAACTAAGTGCATCGTCTGCTTTGGAAAGTACACTCCAGCCTCAGAACACATGCCATCTAAGCCACGGCGTGCATAAAATAAAAAAGTGATTTGCTCATATGTTTTTTTGGTCTCTCTAACCACAGCAAATTGAGAAAAAGAGTCCATAAACTGGAGGAGAGCATCGGGAGCCTTTTTTTCAAGTAAACACCTTACAGCACAAAATAGCCTTGCCGCATATCACATTACGGCACATAGTCATAAGCGTTATGACTATGAGCAGTAGCACAAGATAGTGGCCATGAGATCACCAAACATGGACACAAAGTCTGGAAAGTCATTGCCCAGTCTGATGAATCTCAATTTCCAATGCAACATACAGATTGTAGGGTCAGCATTTGGTATACACAGTATGTATTCTTTGGTATGAGGTGAAATAGAGGTTTGCAACATAGATGTGTGATGGACAGATCTTCAGGAATAATAGGATGTTATCAGTCCTGTATAAATATTCCAGTGATTTATTATTGGCTTTCCACAAATCAGGCATTTCTGAAGGTTAAAGGGGTCCTACTTAGAATTAGATAGGTGTATCCAATACAGCTGTCCCTGAATGTATGATTGGTTAGTTACACAAATATAGACATAAACCAAAAGTTAATAAACCCCTCAAGTTGAAAAGATTTCATATAGAAACACATAAGAAAACAGCCTAGATGTCAATAGCTTTTGTTTTTCATGGCTTGATCATTTCACCAGATCATTTCCGCAGCTTGGCCTTGGCCCCTGCAGCTGCTTGCTCTTACCCTGGTGTTTTGGTAACACTTAATTCTGATGTTAAGTTAATGTAGGGCAATAATTTCCAACA